TATTACAAAAACCTCTACATTAGGCTTTTTTTACTGATATATAACTTAATACTCCATAAACACTTAGTACAATTATATAGAAACAAAAAACTTTTTATTTTCATGGTATATATTTTTATTCAAAGACTTTCTCTCATGGTAAGGGTATGTTCAAGCAAAGACATAAAACTGTATAATAATTTTAAAATCACTTTTAATACCGGACTCATTGTAAATTAGTAAATAAGTTTAATCATGGAAAAATAAATTTGAAAAATTGGTCAAAGTATTAATGATGTTTCGCTAATGAAATAACTACTACTACTACTGCAAAAGAAAGTAATTATAAATTAAAAAACTACTACTTATTAAATTTAAAGAAAAAGTTTATTCTATAAATTAAACTAAAACTTATAGGGACATATACTATTTATATTGCATTCTATAAAAAATCTTATTATGAGTTCTAACAAAAGCAACCATGTAAGATGCAGAAATAATTAAAAGTTATGCTTAAGTTAAAACAACTTCTAAATAACGTAACTTTTCTTGATTAAATCAAGCTAAACGTTTTTTTGTTAGGTTATATGAATACCATATTTTTCGTATTAATAAAATTTTGTGAATGCAAAATTATTAACTTTAGAAAAACTTACGCCTATAAAACTTTTTGAATCCGCACGTTTCATAAATGAAAGGAGAAACATATTATGATAATTTTGATTTCTGTTAAATTTTTTATTTATTTTTTGGCAAAAAATTACTAAACATATTTAAATAAACAAATACTTTACCTGTTCCATATTTACATATATATCTAAACACATGTTCACAAGTTTCGTCATTCCAACCGTCTAATGTTGCTTCCACGCAAGCCTCATTTTTATTATCTGCATTGTTAGGTTCGCCTTGCTTCCAATTAGAAAATTGTGAAATTGTATAATCAGACCATACAAAATAAGTTGTTGATGTAATGTTAAGACCTTTCCAGAAAACAAAATCAAATAAAAGCTATTAAAAATTGAAGTTGTTACTTTTTTTTATTCAAAGTTTTCTTTACATAAAAAACCTAATTTTTAATACATATACTTAACTAAATACGTATTTAAAACTTATATATACTTATACATGTATTAATAGCAATCAAACGATGCCAACCTGAATAAAATTAAATAAATCTTTCTTATTATGGAACTTGGAAGTTTTAAATAAGTATTTACTTATACTTAAAAAATGTTTTACTTTAGTTTTTTTTTTTTTATAATAGTATTATGGTAATAAAATGGCCATCCAATCACTTTATTTCAAACATTACTGATTAAGAAAGCGCAAAAATGACTAAAATAAAAAAAAAAAAAAATTCAAATAATATGGTTCTAAAATTATGATTTAAACAACAATTGTTTAACTAGCCGACAAAAAAATCTGATGCCCACCACATGTAAAACATATTGCCACAAGTGCTCCAGATAAGGCGACGCCTTACATGGTATAAATACAATAACCATAAGTTGAGTGAGGGTGTCATTTCATGACACGTGTCCCACATCAAACCTTTTTGTCGTGTAACGTGACCTAGTTTAAATAAAATCATTTTAATGCTTCATGGCGTATAATTTATAATAAAACCTTTTTTAAAATAATATCAAAAACTCAATATAAATTTTACTTAATGTGAAACCTAATGTCAAAGGCAATTTAATTTATCTTGTTATGGCAACAGTTAACTGGTATTTATCATTGTTCTAATAATTTTTTCTTATGACTTAAAAAATAATCAAAAAAAATAAAAGTTTTAAAAATGCATAATACCAATCCAGTAACTCCTGCCTACATCTCTTTTAAGCTGCTCTATAATAAATGCATTTTCTGCTTCGTCTGCTATACTTAATAAATTTCCTCCATAATTTTGACATGACAAATGAGAGTTATACCAATTTTTTCCTTGTACCGTTTCACTTGCACGGTAAAAAAGGTAACAATAAGTTCCGTTTTGTATCCAACCATCAGAACAGGTACTGTTATAATTCTCTAAAAAATAAAAGATGAAGATTTTTCATAAGTGTTTTTTCAAAAATACAAATAAAAAAAAAAAAAAAAGTTTATTATGATATGGGTTTAATAAAGTTGCAATATAATATAACTTAACAAAGTAAATTAACAAGTTAAACAAGTAAACGTATTAGTTAAAGATATTATTGGAACAAAAATGTTTTATTCAAAATTCTAAAAAAGACTTCAGCATATTTTTATTTAGAAAAACATAATACTTTTTAATAATTAACATATAAGTCTTTTGCTCGCTAAAATGTGCAGATTACATTGTATACAGATGATTATAAATAAAAATCTCCTTTAAAAACATCTCTAAGGATTTCTTTATCCAGTACATTTTGTATAAAAAATATATTTTATACTTAGGCAGTTTTTTATTTCGGCGATTAATTTCATTTTTTTACGATAAAACAAATATTAAATTTAAACCCGTTGGGCATATGTTTTCTTTAAGTTGTTCTGAGAGGGTATTTTCTGTCTCTCCGTCCCCGTTTTGAATTGCAAAAGCTACGGATGAGTTTTTACACAGTTTTAAACGGCCATCATAAGATATCCGTTGCGCGTCGTTATAGACGTTAAAAATACTGTCCGTTATTTTAAAACCGAAGGTTTTAGATAAATTTTAATTAAGTGAAGTTGAAAGTTCGTAGCCGCCAGACTTTATGGTAAACGATCCGTGTGTTTATTAGCATAACGTATTTATTAACAATATATCCTTAGCTGAATTTCGTTTTTAATAGCTATTTTTAAAAACTCAAAGCAACTTGCATTATTAAGCAAGCTTTAAAAATTAGGCAAGTCAAAGTATTAACTGATGGCAAATGAAAATCGCTTCTTAATTTATTGTAAAAACCACGAGATGTTAAAAAATATTGCAAACGATGATTAAATTTATCTGATTCATATATCTTGTTTTCCAATATGCTTTGCAGAAATAACTACTATTTTTTTGCTAAATAATGTTTTTCTTATCATCTATTTCCATGACATTTAAAAAATAGAAACAGTAGCATTTCCTCAAACTTTGATCTCAATCAACTCCAGAATCAACAATACATATAAAATTTTTGCACAAACTTTTTATAAAACATTTTATTCCACAATGAAATGCTTCAAATCGAAAATTCTCAAACTTTTTAACAAGATATAAAGGAATACCACCAAAACACGTAATTGATTTGACATTATTTTTTCAGTTATCTTCTATATAATATTGCCGAACTTAATAGTTTTAATAGTAGTAGTAGTGTCCCTTGGAGCGTATTTGACACGAAACTCTTGGCAGCCATTGCAACCGATGTATTGGCAAGAAAGAGTCGCAGCGCTATAAGAAAACGTGAACGAACATCTAACGTACGTAAACTTTAACTTATGTAATGTTAAAGCATATGTTAAAACATACTGAAACATTTATCACGTTTTACAGTTTGATTTTTACTTGAAAATTACATTGCGTCAACCTCTCCTTAATTTTGATCTAACATTTTTTTCCTCAAAAAAATTACTAATTTATTATAAAATCTACACTTGATGATACGCCAGTGTAGCTCGAGTGGATAAGGCGGCGAAGTTCTGAACAAGGAACTAGAGGTTCGACTCCTACCATAGGCGGCTATTTTTTTTAATTTTTTTAATTATTTTAAAATACAAAATACTTTCGAAGTTTTATAAAGATTATATACAAACATATGTAACGTAACGATATTATGCACTCACAAAAGAAAAGATTTTAAGAATGCTAAAACTTCATAAAACATTAAAAAAAAAAAAAAAAAAAACATCACCAGGAGAAAAAATATGTTGCGTATCTATGATAATTGAGACACTTATGTTATTAATGTGCGAATGTAATTAGTCCTAATAAGCTGCGGATGGTCTGCAAAAAAAGTTGTCTGAAACTTAATAAAGAAAAAACTTAACAAGACAGCCCTGCTACTTCATAAGATGCTGCTGTGGAGGCAAAAAAAAAAAAAAAGCCTGTAGCTAGATAAAACATTAAAACTTTCTTTTCACAATTAAAAGTTTATTTTGCTACATTAACTTTTTTACTATAAATAGATGCAGCAACTGTTTTTCAAAACGCCTTAATGTAATTCAAAAAAAAACCCAATTAAAAATAAAATTGTTTGGAAAAACTCTTCGTAAAAAGTTTTTAGAAACGAATAACTTTTATTTAGTTTTTTTTTTCTTTTGTGCAACTTACTTTTCAATAAATTTCTTTACCTTTCAGAATATGACCATTTTTAACAATGCTATAGAAAAAATATCAGTAAATTGATTAGTAGTATTTCAATTATATTAATTAGAATAAATTATATATATTAAATTATATATTATATATATTAAATTAAATAGATAAATAAATTGATATTCAGTTAATACATGGGTATTTTTTTTTTTTATACTTAGTGACAAAATAGACTAATTAGATAAGTCGTTAAGTAGAATGCTAAGAATATATTTATGGCGGTTATTGATGTTAAGAGTGATTAATAGGCAAATAAATTAAAAGCTAATCAGGGCTTTGAATAAATTATAAACTAATCAGGGAGGTTTTATTGGTAAACCTAGTAAATAGGAAGATAACATATAATTCAGGTAGACATTGTTTTCACTTTTTCGCCAAACTTTGATATCTTTGATATTAAAAAATATGACCTTTCCAATAATTATAGATGGTAGTGTATTAACCTTTTTTTTCGGATCCACAATCCGTTATGATTTGTATTTTATCAATGTGAACGAAAGTCTATTCAAATATCTAAATATGTAAACTTTAAGTTCTTTAATTATCAATCAGTATAATTATAAAGTAGATGACATCAAATTCTACCGATTTATTTTTACTTAATAATTTCATTGCGACAATATCTCTTTATTTTAAAGCATTAAATGTTGTTTTTTAAAGTTTAATAAGTTTTCTGTTTATTAAATAGTGTAAAAAGATGATATAGCATTCCACAGCGATTGAAGTGCTTCGCTTCGGTTCAAAACCTTTTGCTTACAAATTTTTTTTTTTTAAATCCTATCCAGTTTTCTAGAAAACAAAGAAAAACAAGTTTAAATGCATATAGATGTTATACGCATTACATAAAAATAAAGATATAATATACTATAAGAAACCAAACGGAGAGAATTTTTTAAAACGTTTTTTAAAATTTTTAAAAACATAAAAACGCTGTTGGAAATTTGTTGCGCATATATCATGATAGAGATACTTATGTTTTAGGTAATTAGTTAAAACTGCGAGTTCAACACACATTAAAGAGATAAATTTCTTTCTTATATATATAAAAAAAAGGTTTTACATGCAATCTGAAATTTTTATTAAAACTAACTGGTCAAGAGTCCTAAAAAGTACGAAAAGGTATGAAAAAAAAAATTGTAATCTGAAACCTAAAAAAAAAATTTAGAGACTCCAGAAGGTGACAAACAGAAAACCCACAAAATTTCGCCTAATCCGCTAATAGAAATGAGATATAAACAAATATTTAATGATTTTTGTATTACGAAACGTACGCCAACTCTTAAACCACTGTAAAACTACTATGCGGTTATCTAATTAAATCCACCAAATCCGTTAATAAAAACAGCTTAATTAATAGATTCAAAACCATCTGATTTTTCTATTATGATATGTGCGCCAACTGTACTCTAAAACCAATAAAACTCGGCCATGTGGTCTTCATATCGATTATAACAATTGCAAAGCGAGGGACGACAAGTAAGTTGTATCTACAAGTTTAATTATTGTAATCTTCATTTAAAAAATTAAACTTATTTTATAATTACCATGTTAATATGTTTGAAGTTAATATGTTTTTGACCCAAGAATAAACATTAAGATTATTTTTTAGAAATGAGCAGCCAAGATACAGAAGGTATTCTTTTAATTTTGTATAACATTAATTAATTAAAGAGATAAAAAGAGATGATACGTCAATAATACTGGGATACTTAGCTTATTATTTTATTAAGAAATTACATTAAGATAATTTTGTATATCTTTAGGCGACGAAGAAGTTTCTGTATTTTTTTGAAGTAAGTCATTTATAGATACTATATTTATATAGTATATATAGTAGCAGTTACATATGTTCTAAAAGTGGCGGAGCTGTACTTGATTTACGGTGTGAATAAAACGATGATTTAATTTAGCCCTTTTCAATTAAAATCAACCAAGATATGCCGCCCTCCCCTAACCCCGTGAGTCAAGTACACCCTCCTAAAATTTAACTAAAATTAAAAAATATATAAATTAATTTTTAGAACTTTAAAAGGGTGGACCCAAAACTCAGCTTTTGTTTATTCCGCTATTTTGATTGATGTTTTTGTAAAGCAGTGAACCTTTAAAACGAGTATAAGCTTTATTTAAGGTGTTTAAGCTATAATTTTATAAAACGTGTTTAAGCTAAAATTGACTTTTAAGTCTTCTAACTAATAAACTTTTACGTAAAATGAAAATTTTTGTCATTTACTGAATGTGTTAAATTATAAAACTGTGCAACAGTTTTATAATTTAAGACAAATCTTATATGTTTAATTGAAAAAGTAAATATTTTGAAAATTAATTTTGTCTATATATATATTAGATGTTCAAGAGATCAGAGCCGAAGAGCTCTTGCCAAGTAAGCTAATTTTGTATGAAAAGGATATCTTACAAATATATATATTTCACCAATTTCAGCAATTTGTTAATTATAACTTTTTTTTAATGTTTAGCGGAAGTAATGGACAAGCTAAGTGAGGAATTTTGTTGTTGTTTTTTGTTTTTTTTGTGTGCAAATACATTTATGCTATTTTAGTTTTTTTAAAATTATTTAGCAACTGACTTTTGTCAGTTGTGACAGTTTGTCAGTCAGCAAGTGACTTTTGTAACTTTTAAATTTATTTTATTTAGAAAAATTAGAAGATTCTGTTGAGAATCCAAGTAAGCAATTTGTTATTGTTGTTGTCATGCTCTTTATTTTTTTTAT